TTAATATAGTCTAAGCACCTGAAAATAGTGAATATAGTGAATATAAGAAAAAGACCAACTTACTGACCAACAGGCCAGAATCTCTTTATATAAGAATATATCAGAGAGACTCACACTGGGTTGCTGAGAAGATCTGAAGGCTTGTTTCCAATCCGAATCTCTGCCCCATCTATCCTGCTTTCACAGCAGTCGGGTCTGTTAGTGATGGTCACTCTGTTCACGCTGTACGTCTTCATGAGATCCAGCATCCACCACGGGTCAGTTTGTGTCGTAGTATGAGTACAGGTGTAGCTCAACCCATCCAGAGCGTTTGGGGCATACCAGTCGGAAGAATCTGAAGAATGAACGGCTGTTCCCCATGCTGCTACGTTCACTGGAATATGTTTAGTGGAAAATCTTTTTTTACCATTACATTTATTTATTTCTATTCTGACTGGAAATGATGGGTTTCTGTCAGTACTTGAAGTGGAAAAAAAGAAGTGCCGGTACTCCCCCCCCCTTATTTATTTATGTTAAATAACTTAAATAACTACTTTTTAATTTTCATAATTCACTATGTAGGCTATGTATAGTGCCACAATATTAAACAAATTAAACAAACCTTTTCAATACAAATAACCAGAAGTCAAGCTGTGATACCAAACAGGACCACAGGGAGACGCCAAAGACCACTAAACCTCCACTGGATACATTCAGAATCGCTAAACTTCTTACCACCGCATAACACCTCAGCCAGCCAGCGTCCATTATAAAACATTCTTGCTTTTAATCCAAATACACAATGAAAAGAATAATTTACTGACATCTGGACGTGAGTCACTATTCTCTCCACAATCTCTGATAAAATTGGCCTTGTTTTTCACTGCATTAGCGCTGTTTTGTCCAACTGTTTGAATTCGCTTACTGGATCCTTGGACTTTCCAGGAGTTTATCGGTTTACATTAATGATCGCAAAAACCTGCTTCTTTTCATTTTTAAGGTATTGATGGGACCAAACTCTCTTTGTGATTTTAAAACGTAAGAAAGTACCCAGATTTGAACACTACAGTAAGATTTAACTTCTACTTTTTTTCGTTATAATGTACTGATTCAAATTAGTAATTAATTATTATTCTACTTCTCCTGACATGCTCTTTCACCTCACATAATTTGGCTGAAAGGATAAGCATAGTGAAACAGGACAGCGCCCACACATCCTCACATTATATTATTTCTTTGAACATTTATATGAATTCTCCATCTTTCTAAAGAAGTTGACGCAACTTATAATCAGGGTCGTCTTATATTCGGGCCAATACGGTATTAGTTGGATTTAGCATCAGTGATGCACACTTCTGACACAAAGTAATAAATTACTGTCACTGTAACTTTTTTAATCGTAAATCATTGGTAAAATATCGATGCTGGAGACTTTTAAAATCTTTATAGGGTAGAAACGTCCGCTTCTGTCAAGTTCGTTTTGCGATAGTTTTAATTTATTTATCCCCTCGCTGGTGAAATGATGTTGTGTGCCGTTTGCTTCAGAGAGGCGTGTTAAGGGCGGGCTTTTAGAGTAGCGCTGGTCCGGCTCAATTATCAGCTAGTAGTTCTTTGAAGAACAATTATTTGGGAAAAAGAAATGCCACTGCATTACTAAATAATGAGGAAATTCCAAAAATAAATAAAATAATTCTTACAAAAGGTGTCTTTATTTACAGACTTTTTGATTACTTTAGTTTTTCATGAGGTTATGTATTAAATAAGAACACTAAACAAAAAAGTAGTAAATTTATTCAATTATTTTCAAAAATATTACTGACAAAACTGTGTATCTTTAATTACACACTGCTATGTAAACAACTAGACTGTAACTATACTGGTTTAAGTCTCTCAGTACGATATAAGTTGTAAGTGGCTGATTCATTAAAAAGAACTGACTCAAAAGATTCACTCGTTTAGGAATTGGACTACACTAGTCATACTGTATTGTTTTGATCCACTAAAAAAAGGAGCCCATACGAGTCACTTGTTTGAAATCAGACTACACTGATTGTGATTGTGTGGTTTTGCTTCACTACAAAGAAGAGTCTTCATTGAGTGCCTATGATTCCTAAAAATATGATCAAGCAAGACAGTTTGCTAGAAATTGGAACAGGGCTCTGGTCTTGCTCTTAACTAGGACTCCAGAGCTGAGAAGAACACATGATTCCTTCAGACCACAAATAAGAGCCAATCAATACTCTGGGAGGAGAGAAGAACAGTCCATGAGACAGCCCATTTTTGTGCCATGCCAATCAAAGGAGACTCCTTCTGAATCACGCACATTTACTGTAAGCTGTGAATCACCCCTGCCCACAGAGCTGATCGTCCGCCATCTCTCCCTTTTCCTTTTTAACTTGTTCTTTCGCTCTGCCACTGCAATCAAGAAGCCACAGACACACAGCAGAAGATTGCCAAGTCCACGTACAAACTACAACACTCTTGGCACACCCACACGCCTCCAAACACAGGAAGTAGCAAAGCACAACTCAGCAAGACCGTTTCTCTCCATCTAGTTTCTTCGCCTGCAAAACAGAGAGAGCAAAAAAAAAAAAACTGCATCCACAACTACCTACTGCACATGCACACATGAATAAGCTCAAACAACACTACATAACAAACCAACCCTGATTAAATGTCAACAGGAGATTTCAACATGACCCTGTCTGTGATGAACAAATTAGGCCATTTACTACCTATTGAACCACATCTATTGCACCACACTCATAAGGGGCTGTTCACATAAAATGTGATTTTTCATTTCGCTGTGCTACTTTTCCATTGTTTGTCTATGTAAACAAGCGTGAGACCGACGTCTTTGACACTGTGCTCTGCATTTTGACACGCCGTTCTAAAAATGCAACGCTCAAGTTTAAATAAGTTAAACTTTACAAAAAAGTTTTTTTTTCCCTTATACACAAAAATGCAGCTTCAAACGCAGCTTGGCGCAGGGCAGTGGAATGGAGGAAGGAATGGTTCAAACTTTTTCTTATAAATTTTCTTGTAACTTGCCAGTTTCATTATTTATTAAAATCTCTTTATTAGGGCTAAATTAAGATACAAATTTCCCAATACGATTCTAATTTCAATTCACAGTTTCAATAACATTCTGATTTGGTTCTTGGATACATTTTTGGCTACATTAAGTATTTTAATTTGAATTAATTTTTTTGAATTTAAATTTTTTTACGTAATCAGCGTTGTTTACGTTCAGTAGACAATGCGCATGCTGAACGTAAACAGCACTCGTTACATTGATTACGTCCTGGGATACTCTCCAAAATGGCGGAATACGGTACCTCGGGGAGAAGAATTGCTAAATAAATTATGTTATTATTGTTTTCTTTGTGCACAAAAAGTATTCTCGTAGCTTCGTAAAATTACAGTTGAACCCCCGATGTCACATTACTGATGTCCTTGCTACGTTTCTGTGCGTTGATCGTGGTAATATCCTAGCTGTCTATGGAGGGTCAGAGGCTCTCGGATTCCATCAAAAATATCTTAATTTGTGTTCTGAAGATGAACGAAGGTCTTACGGGTTTGAAACGAAATGAGGGTGAGTAAGTAATGACAGAATTTTCATTTCTGGGTGAACTATCCCTTTACACAAGGAAAAAAAAAGTGGCACTGGGTTTGAAATTTAACATCAGAAATTGACATTGCTGCCATTTGTTGTAATCGTTTCATGTGATTGACAGGCTGCTTTAGGAGAATTCATCTACTAGACAACCTTATTGCCCAGCTCTTCTGCAGAGATGCCATTGCAAGGGGGAGAGCAAAAAAAAAAAAAACATGTGCACAGATAAATCAATAATAAATACTGCAATATTTAATAGTGACTTGAATATTAATCTCTCTTGCTCTTATCAACCGTGCAGATGGTTGCCAACCCCAGCAAACAAAAGATAGAACAAAAGAAAGCAGCTTTACATTATTGTACCACATGAGAATGGGCTGATAGTCTGTACAAACCATCCAAACACCCCCTGCCACAACCAGCTCTTCTACCTTCCTGCAATATTACATAACAAAACCACAAAACAGACCACCAACTATGGGCGTTAAGTGTTTTCTTGGCTGCACCCTGACTCAGCAGGCCGCCCTGTGTACATCATGGAGGCGAGGCTGACCTGGGTGGGTCTGGCAGGAGAAGGGCTGAGACACAGGGTTGGCGGACACTGGCTGCACAAGAGCTGTACTTCCGGCGGGCAGAGGTTGGCCCCGCTTCAGTAGCTGCTTGTGTTCGTGTTGACGGAAACGAGGGGGCACCTCTCGGGGCGGGTAGCGAGGGGCTGCCGGCTGCTGCTGTTGGTTGCTGGAGGGTGCGCGCTTGCCATTGCCACCAGTGCTGCTGCTGGCTGAGGACACAGACGGGTTGGTGGGGGGAGGAGGGGTGGGGCTGGGCTTGGCAGAGTCTGGCACTGTGGACACAGAGATGAAAGAATGACAGAAAGAGAGAGAGAGAGAGAAGGGGGAGAGGGAAGGATAAAGTTAATTTTAGCACATGCCATAATGAAAGCAAACAGGAAGTGTCTTTAGAGGGACAACTATGAGAGGATTCGGGAGGGATGAGCGGGTGGCGAGACCATCGCGGATGTCGTTCGCCTGTCTCTACCTATCACAGCCGGTCTAGACGCACAGGGGCTCTCGGGGAGGGAGAAGAAAGGAAACGAAAGTGCCATTTATCTTAACGCATCCGTGTTGTGGAGGAGGCAGAAACGGTTACACAATTAGCCATCAGAAAGCCTGATCCAGGCAGATCTCCGCCTGAGGCAGAGGCAAAGATGAAGCAGAGGGAGCGCAAACATCTGCGTGAATGAGTACCGGACTTACATAACGCAGACGGGGGAGATGCTTATTCTGCTGGGGGGAAAAAAACACCGTCTGGTGGTGGAGCTTGGAGGAGAAAAAAAACACTTGGGTTTCTAGGCTTTGATTGATTTTAGTAGCTTCAGAATTTTCAGGCAGAGTGACAAGAGGGTGAAATATCAAAATGCATACAAAGATAGGTCTACACTGATGCACTGAAATTATTCACAGGAGGCCCTCATCGAACACACCACAAAACTAAAAAAAAAGCTCTGCAAACTGGTTAATACAAATAGCTGGTTTGTAATAAAACACATCGGTGACCACTCAACCTGCTTTTATTTTCTCTGTAGAAAATGTCAATAAAAAGGTCTAAGCCATGAATCAAACCAACCCACTTCAAGATTAATTACATTACAATCTTTGCTTTGAAGAATGTGAAAGTGTAAGTATATAAAAATAAGGAAAACAGACAAAGGTACAAGACTGTGTACTTAATGACTTTATGAGGGAATGAACTACTCATCCGATAAAGCTTTGCGACTGACATAAATCAAATGATGGTATACAAACTAGGGTTGTGCCGATAGACGATAGTCAGAGATATCGCCTGTGTCTGATGCAGAATCAAGACGACGATTATTATTATTAATATTATGCTAGTATTATTATCGAATTAATATTAGGGCTTATTTGCTCCATTATATTTCTTTTTGCGTGTTTTTACAGTGTTGCGCGTTATAACCAATCACACACGAATATGTTGAGTTTATGAATGCAATGGCCAATCAGAGGTGTTCAGACGAGTCGTCGCTGAAACACTGGAGTTTTGTGGTTGAGTGCGTGCTCGCTGACTAAATTCTGCTCTCTCGCGAATTCTCTCATCATAAACAACAAAGTGCAGGTGTACATGCGATGTAAGTATAAGAGATTTATTGACCATGCGGTGTAACTAGCTTCACTGCTTATAACGGGAGTGTTTTTAAAGTGCATAATCTCACGCTAGACTGAAGTTCTTCGATAACGTAAAAGTTCTTTGCTTGTTTTCAGTAGCTGCTGTTCGAATAACTGAGGAAATGCAAGCATTAAAATCAGTAATATACCATGTTTTTATTAAATTCTGATCATGTTAAATACAAATTCATTCATATTAAAAAAATTGACATGACATCCATATGCTACATGACTAAAAAGATATAATGTGTAGTTAATAGATTACACTAACATTAGGCTGCTTTTAGCCATACCCTGGAGTCAGTTCACTCTCCGGCTATGAAACTAAGTAAGGAGTCTAAGTAAGTCTCACAGGTTGACGATAGGACGATGTGACTATGGAGCATATCATCCAACAGTAATACAAACAGCTGCTGATTAATAGTTATTATTAGTGTTGTCAAAAGTACTTCGGTACCAAGTCGGTACTAAAAAAATGAAAACGTTACGGTACCAGGTTTTTTTAAGTACTGGTGGTACCGAGTACCCGGTCAACCCAGTTCTTGATGCGCTATCTGAAAGGTGCGCAGATGCGCTTTCTTCATAAAAGCACTGAGACATGGCGACCTCAAAATGAGGAAACACATCAAACTAACAAAACACTTTAAAGACAGACACCCGGATCAAATGAAAGAGTTCAAGCAGGTAAGTTTCATTTTAATTTTTAATATTTGTGTTTCCCATACATTTGATTTATTTGTGGCGGCCCGCCACAAAAGGCTTTGACTTCGTTCCATAAACATGAGCACTGCACGTGTCAAGAAACCCCGTCGGTGCGAGTGTTTATATATCACTGTATTTCTGAAGGAGACCGGCCACAAATAGATTTTCCAAAAGGCTTTGACTTCGTTCAATAAACATGAGCACTGCACGTGTCAAAGACGAAACCCGGTGCGGGTGTTTTTATATCACTGTATTTCTGAAGGAAACCGACTGTTTTCAGAAAATTATGGATGTCATTTTCATTTCATCTGGCATGTAATGCCTGAGCAGCGTTTGTGAGCGCAGCACTTTAGAATTAAGTTTCTTTATTAACTATTTAATGCTCCTATAACTTCTATTAGGGTAAAAAAACAGGAGGACATGACGACATTTACAATCTGGGCTTGTTTTGTTTTTTTTAGCTAACTTAGTTGTTATTCTTGGCTGAATAACTCTAGGTTTTCAAAAGCCCTTTAAAATTAAATATGTACACAGTTTGGATTAAATGAAAGTATAGTAAAAAATTTTAATTAGCAAGTTTTTTAGTGTTTTGCTTTGGTACCGAGAACCGTGGATTTTCACTGGCATTGGTAACGAATACTGAAATTTTGGTACCGTGACAACCCCAGTCATTATACATTAGTTACACATAAAATTGCAAAATGACTGCAAAATATTCATGTATATTCAAATGAACAAGTCGTTTGAGAGGATGGGGAGACTGATTCAACAATGTGTTTATCACTTGGTACTGGCACTTGGTCAGTTTAATAGGTTACACTTGTCTACTTTTGGTGTTAATCGTTGAACCAACAAAATATTGAAAAAGAAATACTGAATTAGAAGATTGAAATGATTTTTTTCTGCTTGATTACTTTATATTAAAAAAACATCAATTTTTTAAAGATTTTATCTTTTCTTTTTTTATCATGTTCAACCAATTTACTTTTTCCCAAACATGAATTTGGGACTACAACATATGAATGATTTTAGTTGTGTTAATGTAGCATTGTAAGAACCGGAAACAGGATTTCCACAACCGTGCTTTGCATGGGACTGGATAGGGAGAGTACATTTTGAAATAGTGTTATTTTACGCAGTTTTAGCAAGATGAGAAAAGGGGAGATTACCACTGTGGTGAAGTGTAGTGCACGTGCTTGGGTTGAGGATCTGCTAACAAGAATTCAAGTTACTTTAATTAAAAAGCATTAACTATGGGAATGCAACAAATGCAACCAGTTCAAGCTTTTGGCTGCCAACACCTAACGTCATATGTTAAAAGTTATATTTAGCTTGCTAGTATGTGTAATTGTTACGCAAGACATCTTTTAAATCACTCAGGTGAACTACACCTTCCGGAATGTACTGCTTCATTCCTATTGGCTGAAAAAGAGGCTCACATACACTATAGATTATATACTGGAGAGATCCAATGTGACGCAGGCTTAACGCTACATGAAAACATGAATGCCAAACTAGCATTAACATGTCCTTTCAATTTCTCCCTCTCTCTCTCCCTCACCCGCACGTCCCTCCCCCAGTCGCGGCCCCTTACTCTCTTTCATGCCATGTTTGCAGCACAGACGCTCTCCAGTGGCGCAGTCGCAGTGCTAAGCTGGAATCAGTGACGCCAATCCCTGCTTAAGTCCAGCTCAGCCTGCCTGCCACGAGCTGGGCCGACCAATCACTACAGTTTCCCCATCCTCCTCCGCTTTCCTCGCATCAGAGTCGGCCCATTGTAATAGCCGATTATGAACGTGTTACAGGAAGCATACGGACATGGCTAATTTCTCTTGATTACGCTGGAAGTACCTGCATATTCTGTCTTTCACACTTTTGCCCCGGGTCCGTGAAAAATGACTGCAGTCAGGGCCTTTTGATGAAAGGTTTTCTAGAAGCTTCTGTGGAATCTGTCAGCGGCCGTCCAATCACAACACAGCACTGGCGAGGGGAGGTTTGAGAGTGGAATGGGGAGGGAGATGCAACGAGCTCTCGAATGGGAGACGAGGAAAGACTTCATTTATATACCATATCTGACTTTCTCATCAAAACAAATTTTTAAATGTCGAATGTTTTTGTTGAGACGGGGAAAAAAAAAAAAAAAAAAAGTGTACATGTGCGTATGCATCTAAATCCAGCTCTCTGAGCACTGGACACAGATACACAACGCAAATCCTCAACCAATTATGCGGTTATGAGATTCATGTGAACTGAAACGCTTTAATTGCTAACCTGTTTACTAAGGCTTGTTTTAAAGCTTTGTTGCTCTGATATACACTCTCACGTGTAAACACATTAAAGCCACTCGCCAGAGCTCTGATAGAGAGACACAGGATCTGTTAAAGCAAAGTTATGGGTTCAATACAAGGTAAGCTCTAGCAAACAGTATTTGTTTTTGTGGCATAATGCTGATTACCACAAAACGTAATTTAATAATAATAAGAAAATGTATATACTACAAACAAATTAATAATAACAATAATAATAATATACTACAAATAACAGTAATAATACTTGTTTTTATTATTTTTTAATTTTAATGTTTTTACATTTTAGTTTTTTGCAAAAATTTGCAAAAACAGCTATAGCTGTTAATTTAAATTCAAGCACACATGAACACAATAAACCGCAAAACATCTTTCACATGATATGTATACAAGACAACTTTTTACATGAATTGCAGTGATGAATAACTAATTCACTGGCCCTACAAGAGTAATGATAAGACAATTTTTAACTAAAAAATAAATGCATTTTTATGACTGCATAATTCATGTGTTCCACATTTCTGCTTTGACACCCCCATTGTGCAAGTGCATGACCCCATGTACTTCCACTGTAAGTGCCTTACTGTTACTAAAAAAAGAAAAAAAATTATTGTCTGTGGTAATGGACATTATTCCATAAATGCTGTCGA